TTGCTTTCTTCAGAACAATACCTAAACAACACAAAACCAACTGAATGAATCTCAATCAGAAGTCTGTGTGTGAGTGAGTGAGTGACAGAGAGAGGGCCCATTCTAAAGTTTAAAACACACGTCCTGTGTCGATTGCTAATTATACTTCAGGATAATTGAATAAAAGCACATGCACACACAAAAGTAGTGGTTACACATAAAGATCCAGTTTTCTCAAATCCAATATATCTCAATGCCTTAGTTCTAGTGTACATTCTCCTATGGTTCACCCTTTCTCAGTGAAAATGAAATCAGAAACACTCATAAGAAAATCCACAGAAAATGAACTGAAAACCCAACATAACAGTAAAAGCCAGATCAAATACTTCCCATCCATCCCAATCTATAGGATCACCATAACCAGTCAAGCAAAATGTGAACCCAGATACAAATCCCTCAAAATAATAAAACCCAGATACAATACCGCATAATATTAAAAACCCAGAAAGAGTTCTGAGAAATTCGCCATTTTCAAAAACACATTGAAACGACAACAAAGATCAAGAGAACCCACCGTATTCGTTCTCCACAGAGGCGGTGTAGAATATTCCAGAATAGACAGAGCCGTCCTTGACGTGAACATCGACTGGGAGACCAATGATGCACATGGTGGCAAAAAGCAAGGCCTCACTTAATGAAGAAGAAGAGACAGTCTCGTCGTCTGTGAACTCTCTGTTTCTGCAACCCATGTTTCTTTTTCTCTGCTTTTTCTGATCCAGCCCAATTTCTCTGACTACAAGTTTCAGTACTTCTGTGTGTGTGTCTACGATTTTGGAGGGTTAATATGGAAGGGGAAGAGATCTGATGAAGCTGGGCGATGGAATTCGAAAAGAAAAATCACTTTCTTTTCTTGTGCGGCAATGCGCCTCTGTTCATAAACATTGAACAAGTTCCCTTTTTTGTTTGTTTCTTTTTACTTTTTCCATACGATACATACATGTGATTTTGATCGGAATAAAAGGAGTCGAAATCAAAATGAAGAATGAGTTGAAATCATACATTTCTTTTCTTTCATTCTTTTTCCAGGTAATTAAACATGTCATTGGTGTATCTATGTTATTTTTTTCTCAAAGATTTTTATATTGAGAATATACGAATTTTATATTAAGAATTTTTCTCAAAGAATTTCTAATTATATATATGTCATTACTTGTTTGTTTTGAATTGATATTAACCTCTTAGCACGCGTTTACATGCACACAAATTGACTTTAAAAAAATTTCTATTGTGATGGAAAATTTTCTAGAGTATACCAATTAGGATACACCTTCACTGCTATTCTTTTTCAAATTGCAATTGTCATCAAACGGGTTTACATCATGATTGCTATCAAAGATAACAAATTCTGTAAGTATGTTCTATGCATTTGAATTCGAAGTCCAAGTATATATAACAGTTGGTATGCCATATCTTTCATATCAAAATTGAAATTCAACATATCATTTATGTGACTTATCACATTTTTGTTTGTTCATGTTATGAGCATATCATTCACATATAAACATGTACTGTCACAACCGTTATATAAATACATTTATCACGTTCATTGTATAATCAAACGCTTCATGTCATTGTTTTGGTATTAGAGCCTATATGATGAGTTAACAAGTTTACATATATTTTTCTTGTGACCTTTCACCACAAAAATCTCTTGTTGTTCCATATACGTTTCTCTGTCAAACTCATTATTAATTTTATTTTATTTTATACATATATTTGGTTTATTTCCAAATTGTAAATGGTTGCGATTATTATTAGCACTCACATAAGTAATTGGTGACTAGTGAGTAAGTATCAAAGAAGTCTAACCATTATTTTTAAATTTGTATTATTTTTATACTTGTCTATAGTACAATATGATTTAAATTTCTTTTTTAAAAATCCATTTATAACTAATAGGTTTGTTACTTGGAGGTACGTCAACCAATTTTCATGTGCTATTCTATGAAGTGGATTCAATCTCACTTTGTATTGCTTCCTTCCAATAAGGAGCTTCTAGTAAAGAAATAGTGTCCAACCTTCTTATTGGGTTTTTTTTTATCCTTTTCCTCTTCTTGGTTCCAAGAGTTGTTCTTGGACACTAGAAGATGCATTATGATCAACATGATTTCCATCATGTGTAGCATGACTATCTTGACTATGATCATATGCTTCTATATATATGTAGTGGATCTATCTTTACCTTATATGAAAAAAAAAATATTGACAAAAATTCAAGATGAACATATTTCATAACTGGTGGAAACTAAACACGATGATTGCACGCATTCCAAATTTATGCACTACGAACCGATATGCTACAATATTATGACAAAATCATACATATGCAATCCACGGTTTTAGGTCCAAACATTTTACTTATGGAAAGAGGAACCTAAACTTTTGCAAGGTAACCTCACACTTGGAGTGTCTTATATGTGGGTAATCAGTGTGTTCCACACTGTAGAATTCTACTTATTAATTAGCCTTCTTTTGTAGAAATTTACTCCACATGACATTTGCAATGAGTGAAGCTTCACCCCACATGTGAGAGCCCTAAACTATTTAAATGGAAATAATGTGTTTTTACTACCCCATTTATCGAGGAGTATATGGTACAATTATATGATGTACAATTTCATGGAAAGAACAAAGTTTTGAAAATTATAAATACGACTTAAACATATTAAGGTTTTCATTTTTGCTATGCACTTATATACATAACAATTCTTATTGCAACCGTCTTTTCCTCCGCCTGTTGGTGTAAATCTAAGAAATTATTGAATTTCTTAACATTTTAGAAAAATTGCCTTGAAAAGACTTGTTCGGTATCTTACTAAGAAAAATGAATTTAAAAATCATGATCTTTTATTTATTTTTAAAATATGAGTTTTTAAATACAGATTTTAAGATCTAAACTAGTGGCAATGAAGATCATAATTCAGGGTAAAACGGCTGAAAATCCTAAGTTTTAAGGTATCCTTTCCCAACAAGCATTCTTCCTTGGTATCCAAATCAAATCACCCACCAACATAATGGATAGCTTGTAGCTCATCGGGTTTTACCCTTCATATTCCGCGTCCTAATATTAATGTAAAATAAACCTAGCTGCCTAACACAACCCAATTTAACTGATTTAATTGATCTATCTACCGAAAATTAATCAGATCACATTGTTTTACTTCAAAAAAGACATCCAGATGTGAGAATATGCAATCTTTTGACCAAGAGCTCGTTTGGAAGTGCTTCTTTAGGAAGCACTTATAAGCACTTCTACCAAAAGCGCTTTTATTATAAAGACATTGAAATTTTCATAAGAAACAGAAGTGCTGCTTGGAAAAGCACTTGCGAGTGTTTCCTGAAGAAACACATGACAAGTGCTTCTCCAAAAAACGCTTATATGGCCTAAAAGCGCTTCTAAACATTTATGTCAAACGCTATCAGAAGAGCTTTTGATTGTCAAAAAGCGCTTTTAACTATTCTAGAAGCACTCCCAAACAGGCCCTAAGGAAAACAATCCCATGTCCAAACCCCTACTCTGAATTCTTACACGCCAAAAATACACGGGTGACCAAAAACAACTAACAAACAAGCTTAAAAGAAAGAAATGATGGTGCATACAACACGAATAACTGATTAACATATTAAATTGCAAATGACATATTTAAAGTGCACTGTCTCCCGAATCTCACTCGAGGCAATGAAAGGATGGGGAAGGAGGGAAAAAGAAAGCATGAAGAAAATGACAAAGATAATGTTAAAGTTGATACTCGACTCCACAACATCATACAACAGTCGTACTAAAACCGCAACCTAAGATGCACCAGAACATGATGATACCCAGCTTCAGCCTCCAGGGCAGGCAGCTACAAATCACTGCAACCATAGAAACAAACTCATGTCATGAACAATTCTAAATCTCTACAGGGCAAGGAAGCTGAAAGTAGTGATAGTTACCTGCTGTTGCTGTTGGTAAGCACCAGGCTGCTGGTAATTTCCATAACCATGATAGCCTCCATAATACAGGTTAGGGTCTTGGGCAGGAGGTGCATATGTATACGCATCATATCCTTGTGGATATCCATAAAATCCACCACCACCGCCGTTCCACTGTGCCTGATCTGGTTGGTTCTGAATCAATCAAACCAGTTAAAAATTATGGTTAGCATGCATACCAGCAAAAAGTCAAAAAATCATAAGGTCACCAATAAAAACCTGTTTGCTTGTAGGACTGCGGCCCCATGAAAGTCTAATACTTTGTCCTCCTAATTGGGTTCCATTCAACGTTCCCAATGCTTGCTCTGCACAAGATCTGAAGATACATGCAGACAACATAAGCACGTACGAGGATTATTTTCTAAGGAGGAAAGAAAAGGAAACTTTTATCTAGACTATAAGGTGCAGAACTGTTACCTATTACCAAATTGAACAAAACCACAACGCTTGCCTACTGGTATCTTCACATGAACTAGCTCACCAAACTGGCTGAAGACTTGCCTCAACATGTCATCATTGACAGAGGGATCCAAACCCCCAACAAATATCTGCACTCAAATGCGTCAGGGGTTACTATCATGCAGAAAGAAATGTACAATGCAACATTAGGACAAACTACCCACTGTTGTATTATTTGGATCAGCCTCGCCTGGATTTCCTTGAGTACTTGGGTAGGAAGCTGCAAATAAAGAACACATAAGCACTAGTATATGTGATGTTAGGAATCTTACGAATAGTAGCACAGACAAAATTTTCTGCAGAATGATCTGTATCATCTGGTTAAGCATTGAAGAACTCTGGCATCAATCTTCACCTTGTTATCGTGGTTCTCAAACTTGTATTCCCAAAACCACAATCAATTTATCAAAGTAACAACACGTCACTTGGAATTTTGCATGACATATGACTTCCTTGCAACTTACCCATACATTAAGGATTTTAGATGCACGCATTTCTATTAAGGTTATACACTTTATTTATTTATTTATTTATATCTCCTCCAACTTCATACTGGCAATGTGGCATGGAGGATTTCACTGAACAGCTATGGTAGCATATAACATGATGTGCCACCAACCAACAATAACAAGTGCATTGCCTATTAATTATCTGAAGAGGGTTTTTTTTAAAAATTTTTTTAACAAGAAACTATGGCCATAACAATTATCAAGAGGGCAAAGTACAATCAGATTTGGTTGGATAAAGCAGAAATGAAAACCCTACTAAAGGCATCCTCTGCTCTAACTGTAGATTCTTTCATGGGTTAAAAAAGCAGCAAACTGTAGCTTTTTATAGGCTCGAAAATGTCCCATACCCTTATATGGACATGTGCAATAAAGCCTCATTTTGGGGTTCACACTAAATACTGACATCTGCAATAAAACTTATTTTGGGTTTGAAAGGAAGATCTTTTACCTAAAAAGCTGCAACATATGGCTCCTAAACCTACACTCCAACCTTCAAATCAAATTATATTTCCATGCATAAAAAGGTATCATAATAGAACAGAACATCTAACAGCTAATGGGACCAGACATGCATTTGAGTCTATTACACATAACACTATGAAAAATACAGGAAACGTAATAAAATAGAGAACTAAACAAAAGAAGGAACCATAAAAGTAGTGAGTTTACAACCAAAGTACAACTTAAAATGGAACATACTTCAATCATAATGAGATAGATAACCAGAAACAAAAAGATGTAGACAGCTCAATTTCTATACACGAAATTAAATAGGTCACTCAAAAAATTACAAGCAATAAAACAGATCAAGTACACTCGATCCGATAGGAGTCTAGATGAAGAACTATTTCCAAATCCTGGCCCAGTACAATATTGGGATGGTCACCTTATGGAAAATTACTAAGTGTCATTTCTACCTTAAAACAAAAATAAGAGTGGCACCACAAGGTGCAACAAAAGAAAATGTCTTCAAAGATTTAAAGGTATTTTGCATTAAAATGTGAACTACTGCATGGGCTACAACTTATAGTTAGCATTTAATGTAGATTTATATTCTGACTTAAGATGAAGGCTGAAACGTGAAACCACAGAGAGACAAGGGCCACAAATTTGGGAACAAATTCTATCCTATCAAACATAGAGAACATTGTGGAACCGATCCACAAAGAAAAAAAACAATGCTTCTTCAAAATAAGCGAAGTATTAAAAGAAGGATATATAAACTTCGGAAATTGGAGTAAATGTAAACCTGATTGGTAAATGGAATAAATGTAAACTCGACTGGAAAATGGAATAAAGTAAGCCAGACTGGTAAATGGAATAAATGTAAAGCTGATCGGCAAATGGAATAAATGTAAAGCTGACTGGTAAATGGAATAAATGTAAAGCTGACTGGAAAGGTAATTCTTGAGTAGCATAGCAAATGCCACGAGAAAAGAAGAAGCTTATGACATAAACAAAATAACTGACCTAAAATGAGGCCACGCATTAATGTGGAATCATTTCAGCTGAAATCAGTTCCAGGCCCCCCAAAATGAGAGCCTCTCGGTGTCCTGCTTTAAGACAACATGAGTTCTACATAAGTCTTTGCATGTTTTAACATAATTAAATGCGCCCAAGTTTACAAAGGAAAGTACTCGAAGGAAATGACTAAGTTCCGCCAATCTTCAACTGAATAACTGAAAGGGTGCCAAATTTAGAACACTTCTGACAATTTCACCTCGAAAGTATAAACTAAAAGCCCTACTGCAACTTACCAAACCATGATTAACATAAAGCCCAAAATATTCATAATGTAAAGTAGCAGAACAAACATATAAGAAAAAAGCTAACTACAAACAAGCTGCAGATACAGGTTCAGAAGCTTTGTATAGTTATTACCACAAAGCATGTGCAATATCTAACTAGGAAACATACCTTTCTGGTATTGCTGTCCACCACTAGCTGGTTTCTTAGTAGCAGCAGGGCCAATCCGCATGGGCCTGGTAGAGCAATACTGACCATTCATCTCAGTCATGGCTCGCAATTGCTCACCTTCATCACCAAACCTAACAAAACCATATCCCTTGGAGCGTCCAGTGGTCCTATCAGTGACAACTTTTGCACCCTTAACAGAGTGATAAGCAGCTCTAAATGTCTCTTGAAGGAGGTAATCAGTCACATCAGCAGCCAAATCCCCTACAAAAACTGTAAAATCCGGACCATCATCCTGTCGCCTCTCGCCAGCACCTAGGGTTGCCCAATTCAGTCGGAAATTCTGCTCCGTGTTGGGCATCAGTGTTCCATTGTATTGCTGCAAGATCTGCTCAGCCGCACTGCGAGACCTAAACTCGATAAAGCCATAACCTTCTGGCAAAGCCGTCTGCTTATTACGGATAACCTTTGCAGTCACAGCCTACAAACACCTCAAAAGCCACAATGAATACAACATAATGGGATACACGGATCATACAAATAGTCCACACAAAAAGTACCAGAAATATAAATAAACAGCAAATCTCAATAAACAGTTCTGTAGTTTTGGTCGAAACCTGGGCTCAGGCATAGTTAATAGTTTTATTGTAATTTTTGGTTTATAAAAAAACCCAGTCGGTAAAGTCATTAAAAGTTATGTTCTTTGTTCTTCTTTCAAATCACATCTAGAAATAAGCCCTAAATTCCAAATTTGAAGTACAAAAATATTCATTCACATCCAAGCAGAACACAAAATTGAATAGCAAATCACATAAAAGTCAAGCCCTAGATATACATGCACACATAAACGCACAAAGTACAGATAATCACATAGGTGCTTGTGTAACTACCTCTCCGGTGGGACCAAAACAGCTGAGGATATAGTTCTCGTCCATCCACGGCAACAAGTCACCGATCCAGAGCGAGCGGATCTCATCGGGGCCAGGATTCTGTGTGGTCGCGTACTGCTGCTGAGGTGCCGGCTGGGCCCACCCAGCCTGTGCCGGAGGGGCTTGGCCCTGCTGCTGCGGCGGCATCATCATCCACTGCTGCGGCGGCTGCTGCTGGTATTGCTGCTGCGGATCTGATGGAATCTGTTGTGGGACCACTCCTCCTGATGGCTGCTGCATCATGGTGAAGAAAGGCGGGTGTTTGGGTACGGGATAAGGGTGTCCTCGTGGAGGAGGAAGAGGGATTGCGGCGTGGTTTGGGAACAGCGATAACCTTAATCCCGGATTGGGTCTGAGAGAGAGAGGATATTTTCGGGGTGGGAGGGGCTTATATAGGCGAGGGTTGTCGAGTGACACGTGGGGATGGAGGATAGGTTGGGTTGTGAATCTTGTGAAATTGTGATAGGGTGTCTGAATGATAGGCCGGGCCTATTTCAAAATGTGGGCTTGGGCCGGAGCCAACCCCTAATTTCCTAAAACCCTAATTTCCCCAAAACCCACAAGGACGTCAACCAGACTCTCTGTGTTCTTCAATGGAAGTAGCAAGCTCAGCCTCCGAAGATCAAGGTACGCATCCAATGCATACAAAACTGAGGCTTTTGTTTTTATTTTGGTACCCTTTCAGTTTTCTGTTTGTTTGGTTGCCTAGAAAGTGTCTGAATACAAAAGAGAGAACAAATTGGTTGCCTAGATTTGTAATGTTTGTTTTTGAATTGCAGCTATGGTAGTTGAAAATTATGACGGTGAGGTTGAGAGAGTGGAGATGCCTAAACCTACGCTTAAAGTGAGCCATGAAGCTAAACTTAAAGAGCTGTTGCATAAGATTAATTCTGTCGAAATTAAATTATGCTCTGACGGTACAAAAGAATTCATTAAGTTGCTGAAAGGGGATTCTGGAGGTGAATTGCTCCATTATTATGTGAAGAATTCAGCCAAGTGCTTGGAGCTTCTGGCTGCTTGGAAGCTCCGGCGAGGGAAATCGGGAATGTTTTGTATACTTAAATTAATTTCTGTTATTTTGAGTCATCCTGATGGAATATATAAACCAAATGATGTGGAGAGGATGGCTATAAGTAGGGCATTGGATAGGTTTGCTCGGTCGCTTATTGAAGAGCAGTTGCAAGATGTGTATAAGGAGTTGAATAGTAAAGAAGCGAAACGCCAGAAGGCGGCACTTCTGCTTTTGGGTTCGATTGTGAGGCGTGGGTCTGGTTTGGCTTCCGAGGTTGCAAAGAATTTTGATTTCAAACTCCAGGGGTTTTCCAAGATGGGTGAGTACAAAAAGAAGCAGAACGAGAGAAGAATGAAGCTGTCATTGAGAAAGGCGTTTGTGGGGTTTGCAGTGTCATTTCTGGAGGTGGGAACGCCAGGATTGCTGAGGTCAGTTATACGGCAGAAGGAAATGTACTCTGTTGTCCTTCGCGGGCTTGGGAATGATGATGATGAGACTGTTTTATATGTTTTGTCCACATTGAGGAACAGGATTCTTGTTGAAGAGTCATCAATTTCCCCAAGTCTTCGAAGTGTTCTCTTTGGGAGTGTTACTTTGGAACAATTAGTCAACATTTGTGGAAGGGAGAATGGTGGCGCATCTGCAGAATTGGCATACAGTGTCTTAGTTATGGTTTGTACCGATCCTTGTAATGGCTTGATGTCAGATTTGAAGAGACGCCTGAGGGGTAATTCAAAGCGACTTGTGGATCTAATGAAGAAACTTAAAGCAACTGAGATTGGGTACCACAGGGATCTGCTTTTGGCTATTGTTAATGGGAGACCGCCTATTGCTGCAGCATATATGGTAGAGTTCCCCTACAACCTTGAGGACTGTGCATCGCCTACCTGGTCAGATTATTTATACCTCTTCATCATATTGTTTAATACTCAATTTTAGCTGGACCTCTATTCCTCTATATTTGCATGGTGACTGAAGCATTTGCAGGTTTTCTGTTGTTACTCTGGCAGCAAACGTGGTTTCTTCAGTGGGGAGTGGGCATCCTTTTGGTTTCCATGATTTTCAGTCTCATGATCAAGCCTTGTTGGACAATGTGGACGTGCAGAGTATCATGAAATGCTTGTATCCCCGTTCGTTCAGCCGGTCCACAATCAATAAGGGACTGCTTCACTCTGATTTTCTAGTGAAGCACGGAACTTTAAGGGTTCTTTTAGAGGCACTGAAATTGCTGGACTCCTTCCTTTGTGTTTTAAACCAAAATGGGAAGTTATATGTTTCAGAGTCTTTCAAGCAAGATTTTCAAAATGAAGTCCGTACCTTGCTCCCTGATCCTCAAGTTTTGTTGACTCTACTTTCTTCTCTGAGTAATCACTCCAAAAATCAACAGTTAAGCTTAAAGAGGACAACAGAGTTGGAGAAGTTCCCCGAACACAGCCGCAGTAGTGTGAAAAAAATGAAAACAGATATAGAGAACAAGGACGCAGACATTATTATAGGTGGGCTAAATTTTGATCCAGATGTTGCTTTGCCCGAGATTAGTGAAAGAATTGTAGGTTCGTCCACAGACGATGGATTGGACAATGAAAAGGATGCTACAAATGTTGTGGCGGAAATTTGGGGTTTGGATCTTCACTCCACATCTCTAACGACACTTAAGGATGCAGAGATATACTTCCACTGTAGGCTGCTCGATGCTTTGAAAATTTATCTTGTAAGTTTAATTTTTCCTAGTCTTATTTTCTCTTGGATCTTTTATTGAGGCCTTATGGGGCCTAAAAAACGCAGGGTTAGATACTTATGCCTGATATTTTTTTATTTGGCCAAGGTAGGGATCACTGTTGCTTTTTGGTTTAAAAAAAAAAAGCTGATTTGGCATATTGGATTTGCTGTGTGAGGGATGTGATTTTCTAGCACTATCAGGCCTTTAGGGAATACATCTATTGTGTTTTGATGCTTTCAAGTCAAGGCTTGTCTTAATCCCTTGAGGGAAAACGTTTCTCATGCATAATAGATCTAGTAACTTTGGGTGCATCCTTACTACAAAGGATAACTCATTTGCCTCATTCTTTGGAACTTAGTATATGCCTGAATGTATGTATTTCTTCGTTTGGTAACAGTCTGTGTAGTTGTTGCTTACAATGTTCTTTCAATTCTTTTATCGCAGCGGATAATGCCCACTGTCTTGGAGGGATCATTTGAGTTTTTTATGAATCTCCTAAGCAGTCCTTCAGCATCACAAACTGATCTGCAGCGCTCTCTTTTGTCTTTGCTAGTAGAGTTCGTTGGATGGTCTCCAAGTAGTAGAATTCCAATTAGGACTCCACCACTGATGTACAAACATCTTTTGGCATTCATGAACTTGCTAGTTTTTTCACAAATCAGTGACATAAAGGATCAAGCATATCGTCTTGCGCAAGCGGCTATGTTAAGTACTGGTGCTTTTGACAGAAACCAACATGAAATTGCATCATGGTTCTTGTTTTTACCGGGTTTTGATAGAGAAAAATCTTCTGTTCAAGTCCTCGGCTTGGATGTATTACAGAGCTTGTGTCATGTTCTCAACTCATTCTTATGTGATGCCATTTCTACTACTGGGAATAATTTGTTCAAATACTGGGAGATTGTTAAGCGTTATACCTGCCCTTTGGAAATAAATAAAGGTAACTGCTATTCATCGAATTTGTACAATTTTAGCATTGGTACATCTTTATTTTCTTTTTTTGGTGGTGGCGGATTAATTGATACTTGCCAAGTTTGCTTGTTAGGCACTAAGCATATCTGGCATGCTCAGTTAAGATGTGGCGTGGAAAATTTTAAATGATAAAACCTTTTACAGTTCTTTATGGGTAGGGCCATGCAATGAATGAGTGAATGAGTTATGATGTTACAAATTTTCTTTTTTACAGGTCTTTACAGGTTTGATTTTTGACTTTTAAATGGATTAGATATAAAGTTAATTGATTAGAGGAGGCATGATCTGTTACACAAGTTTCATGTACTGTTGTGGGATAGTAAGGGAAAGACGTATGTTAATGTCCTCATTTCTGATGAATTAGATTTATGGTAGTGGTGCTTGAGCATGTTAGTTGCATATGATGTGTTGAAGTAGACCTGGAAACGAGTTGCGTTTTTGCAGGATTGTGTTGTGTCATGTGAAAATTAGCCAAAACTGAGCGTGACCGTAAGTGAACTGGTGGAAAAATGCAAACACGAACACAATATACAAAAATAATGGGTAACACACACATGAAATACTAATGTTTAAACATTATACACCAAATGTTAAACTCATCTTAAAATAACAGTATTCTTGATGGGTTAAAACAGGTTTCTCAGGTTGATGCGAAACTTAGTGGGTGGCTAATGGATCCGCCTGTTTTCCAATACAACCCTTTAAGCTTCAGCTTTAACACTAAATTTTTCTTGCAGGTTCATGTGGTGTGTTGTGTACAATTTTGCCTAGTGTAATAATTTTAAGTTGTCCAATAATTTCTTCACCTTACTTTTTCTATTGAATTGAGTGTGTAGTTTTAAATTCGTTTAATATGCTTTTCAATTGTGCTATTATTCAGGAATAAATCTTGTTTTTTAGATGAAAGTGGTCCTAATGTATCCTTTCCTTCAACTGTGTGAAAAGCTATTTCTTCATGCTGAATTTTCCTTTGTTTGTCTTGCAGAAGCGAAACCTCATTTCAGTCCTCTCAGCATATGTGTGCTGCAGAAGTGTCTAAGGTTGATCGTTTCTGGATCTGGATCCTTTACAATGCATGAGAAGTCAATGGTATCAACATATGTATGCAGCACGCTGAAATATCTCTTGCAAACTCAGGTACACATTTTCTATTTTTTAGCTTAGAATTGAATGCTTTTTCAACACAATCTAATATGAAGATCAATTTTGATAGGTTGATGCAGTATTGTTGTCTTCTTTGATCTGTTCAGTCTTCGCTGAGAGGCTTGGTGACTGTTCTGTCATTAATGATTCTGGGGTAAACATCTGTGAGTGGAGGCCTTTAAACGATTTACTTCTCTTTTCGAAGAGTATATCTGATCAGAAAACTTGTGGTATTTTTTCTATTCCCAATAAGGCTATGCCTGATGGTAGTTCTTTAGCAACTGCACTTGAGGAAGTTAAAAGATTTGAAAAGAGTAGGGATGATAGTGAAGTAGCTGGAATCACCAAAGCCTTTTCTTTCTCAATTCTCTGTACTATGTCTGATGGAATATTAAAATATTTTCCATCCGTTATGATCATTTCACAATTTGTTCTGGGTGTTCCTGTCTCTCTCTTATCATCGAGATTCTTTCTTGAACAAACCCTTCTAGGCAGTGTTTCCAAGTTGTGGCCAGAAATTTTTTTTCCTGCTCTGGATATGGCTCTATCCAATAGTTGTTGCAGAGGTAGAAACAATTTTTCTCTTGACCCTGCTTCTTATGCAGGAGAAATGATATATAACCAAGATGTTGATGCAGATGAAGCTGCTTCTGCTGCGTTTAGCTTCTTTTTGAAGAAGGCACCTTTCCATGTTCTATTCCCTGCCATTATGAGCATTCATGGTCCTTCATCAGAGCCCTCAAAGATACAAGACTTGCTTCTAGCTAAACTATCTGAGTGCGCAACTGATGGCCACCCTATTTCCTATTTGCGTCTTGTGCTATTTTGGCTTTATCAGATACGGTCATCTCATAGAATTGAACAATTAGTCAACTTCCAGCAACTGTCTGAGATTTGTTTAGTTCTTGTGGATAGTTTGTTATCTCAATTATTGGTTTTGAATACTGATTCTGGTTCTTCTAAAAATTCCTGGGCTCTTTTGTCAAGCCAAGATATTCAAGAAGTGGCTGAAACCATCTTCTCTCATCCTGCAATGATAACATCATTTTCCTGTCCTTTGGGATGTAGTGAGGACTTGCCAAAGAGTAACCTAGCAGAAAATACAGATGCTTTGATTGGTTTATCCAGGCGGAGAATTCATATATTAGATCGGCATGGCTTGGATATATTGGCAACAACTTGTGACTACTTTTTTTCTTTATGCAATGACCACCAATTTACACCAGAAGTTGAAAATGGTGCTGGTAAACAATTTGTGAAAGCTTTTAACATCTTGCTGCAGAAGCTACTTCAGGTAGTCAGGGACAAATTTGATCAATGCATTAGTGCTAAAGATCTAATGCCTTTCCTGCCAACATATTATGCTTTACATGCTTTGATTCGTTTTATATCTCCTTTCGAGCTTCTTGAATTGGTGCGATGGATGTTTAGTAGAGTTGACATGGATGACAACCAGAAATCTGCTATTTCTTTCGGGTCTTGCATTGCTGGTGGTGCTTTCAGAAATCTGTCTAGTTATTTGCAGCAACCAAATACAAAGAGAAAATCATATGATTTGTTTTGGAAAATGGAAGAGACCAGTATCAACTCTGACATTTTTGAGGAAATCTACAGTAAAGTATGTAAGTTTTCTTTGCATTTTAAAGCAGAAGTTGTGGATGTATGCTTGCTGGAGGCTATAAACGCCGTTTGCAGACACAAATACATGCAGCAATGTAATCTTCATCCATTACATATAGTATTGTCGAGAGTTATAGCAACCACTCCTGTAGAAATGCTTTCCCATTGCATTTACAGAACAAGCAAGAAGAAAGCTAGATTTTTGTCTCTTCTTACTGATATGAGCTCCATGCATTTGTCTACCTTTGGGCACCTATTTTTGGGTATTCTGAACAAAGATTTTCTACATGAAGGCAATGTGATAGAAGAGACTTGTGTCCCTGCTTTTTCAGATGAGCACTATTTGATGCTTTTGCCTGCTGCTTTGTCTTACTTGAATTCCGTTTCCATGAAATTTGGAAGGCTGTGTTACAAGCATTTTAGAAATATACCTGTTTTTTATTCAAAGATTCTTTTGAATGGTTTCCAACATTGGAATACTTTTGTGTCTAGAGATGTGTTTCAGGAAGAATTTGGAGAGTTTTTGCCATCGTCTGCTCCAGAACTTCTCTGTCTCATTGATGATAGTCTTCTTGGAAAAGCAATTTGTATGTTGCGTTATCACTTTAGTTTGAATGAAGATTCAACGAAATTGAAGAAGCGATTAAAGCTTTTTAATTCCATTTTCCCACCTTCTTCGGAACACAATGAGCTGATAGACTGTGATGTTGGTGGATTGGGTTCTCAATCACTCAATGAATCATTAAACCTTGTAAATAAAATTTTCGCAAAGATATCATTTTGTAAAATTTTGTTATTCCCAAAATGTAATCAGTCAGATGAAGCAGGCAGGGACTTGAAAGACATTTCTTTGGACAATGGATCAAATAAAGAGGACTCATCAAGAATGCAATTTTTAAACATATTGGTGGGTATCTGGCAATGGATTGTTAAAAGAGTCTCTTCAGTTTCTGATAGTTCTCGAAAGGAAACAATCACAGATAGTTCTTCACTATGGAGATGCTTGGAAGTTCTCATATTGACAAGCATTCTTGAACTGACCAGAGAGATTTCTGATGGTCTTACCCAATTACAATCTATCCCCTTCCTAGAGCAATTGATGAAATCAGCTCTTCTATATAGGTTTGAAGATCCAACAACTTTGAAAACCGTGCGAGATCTCCTAACTTTTCTGTCAGAGGGAAAATTTTCACGTGTTCCCTATCTTCAGCTTCTACTTGCCCACTCTCAGTTTGCGCCTACTATTCGTTCTGTCTACAAATCATCTGATTGTTCTATTGTTGGGGCATTTTCCAGGCCTATGTCTGGCATTCTGAGATCACTTGTTTTCCCTTCCACAAACAAAAATGTAATTGATGGCAAGTGCAATCTGGAAACAACTGACTTGTATGTAAAACAGTTGGAGGTTATTAAATTACTTCGAATACTCTTTCCAATAAAGGTTCATCAGTATGATTTTGACTTTGCAAAAGATTTAGGCATAAATCTCAGAGAGCTGCATTTACTTCTCTTGTCTTCTTATGGCTCAACACTCAGTGAAATTGATGTGGAGATATATAATTTGATGCGCACAATTGAGTCTATTGATGATATAGAGCCTGTCAATTTTGCTGGAATGGATCACCTGTGGGGCAATGCGGTGTTAAAGATAGAAAAGGAACGGACTCTGGCACAGAATTTGTCTTATGATAGCATGACTGATACTGAAGCAGTAAAAGAACGCCGTAGAAGTCAATTTAGAGAAAATCTTGTCATTGACCCCAAAATATGTGCGTCCACGGTGCTATATTTTCCATATGATAGAGTGACATCTGAGGAACTATTATCCTTGAACAAGTTTCAAAAGGATAATTTTGATGATATGCATGTGGTATGTATTTTACTTGTGAATTAATGACAAATATAATTATGTTTAAGCTGACACTTGAGATATGTGTTTATTGTCATAGTTCTCATCTAACCACATCATTAAAATTTAATGCAGTTGCATTCCCCTGATGTTGAAAACGTAGAACGATATAATCCTGTTTTCATCTTGCGCTTCTCTATTCATAGCCTTGCAGAGGGTTATATTGAACCCTTGGAATTCGCTGGTTTAGGCTTGCTTGGTATTGCATTTATGAGTATGTCATCACCTGACGATAGGATAAGAAGATTGGGTTATGATTCTCTTGGAAGATTTAAGAATGCTTTGGAGGTAATGCTGTGTTCAAAATAGTTGCTGGCTCTGTACCTGCTTTCTGTGCATGTGTTAGTAGTATATATATACATCTGTATATAAGTGCAATACATATTCATTATGCTACTGGACTTTCCTTTCTCGAATATTTATTATTCATCCAATCACTATATGATGTAAGTTGCAGCAATATTATGTCTCGTGTTATAGTTAGTCCTCTTCGAAATTAGGAAGTCAGATTTTTGCACAGTAGCACTAGTGCATGTCTGTAATTAAAGAGCTATTAATTACTGTTTCATGGCTAGAGTTCTCAATCTTCTAGAATTTTCTTATGTTGAAGTATCATATATTATTTGCTTGCAGAGTATCTTGGTATGTCAATATTTGTGACAGATCGTCCTTTTACAAAAAGCAATGTCACTTAGGTTATAATATTCCTTTCTGCATTCTTTGTCTAAGCTGTTTGTTTATCAAAGTTCAACTACCATTCACAGAAATGTCCAAAGAGGAAGGGTATCAGGCAAATTCAACTTCTGTTAACTTATGTGCAAAATGCTATAGAAGAACCGTGGCAGAGGATCCCTTCTGTAAATGCTATTTTTGCTGCAGAGACATCCCTCATACTATTAGATCCTTCACATGATCATTATGCAGCTTTAAGTAAGCTTTTGATGAGATCGTCCAGGATGAATGTGAAGGTATGAGTTTCATGAACTTGGTAAACTACACTTTTTATTTCTGCATTCAGACATGTACTTACATGTTTCTTTTCTAATTTTCTTCAATTGCAGAATATACTTTTCTTTAGCAATTTTTTTTGGAGTTCCTCTATCAATTTCAAAGCAGAAAGGTTGTGGATACTTCGCTTAGTATATGCAGGGCTGAATTTTGAGGATGATGCTAAAATCTATATGAAGAACTCCATTCTTGAGACTCTGATGAGTTTCTATGTTTCTCCAATCTCGGATGATGAATCCAAGGAACTAATTCTTCAGGTAACCATTTGGCTGGTATTAATGGTTTCTTCATTTGAACGTTTGATACCGGCCTCTAATACTCGTGAGGTTGGGCGCGAGCTAGACGTGCTAGATTGAGTTGTCTATAAATTACAATGTGTGATTCTAAACATGAGTTAGTTTTCAGAATTGCGATTTTTCATTTTGAGATGCATCTGTATCTTTTGCCCTGATTTTGAAAACTTGGGTAGTCTTTGATATTTTGATACTAATTGCTTATGTCTGGTTTTATATGGCTTAATCTATTATCTTATTTTCACTCAGGTAGTGAAGAAGGCAGTTAAATTACATAAGATGGCACGTTATCTGGTGGAACAATGTGGTCTTTTTTCGTGGTTATCATCTGTGCTCTCAATATTGAGTGAAAGTCATTTCAGAGATGAAAAAAGTTTGTTCTTGTTGCAGTTGGGTGTGGTATCCGAGGTTATTACTGGAACTTTTTTGTCTGCTGTTCTGTAAAATTCTCTATTCCCCTCCCCCTGAAATTTCTTGTTCATGTGTATTGCATAACATTTGAGTTGTCTGCTTGATGTCAATTAAAATCTGTCATTGTCTGTACCGTCCAATTGTAACTAGAAGCGTCATAACGCAATGTTCATGTGTCCATGCCAGAGGGCAGAATTAATTGAATTTTTCATGTACCTTTCTGTTGCTTAGCTCTGTTTTGCAGTCTTAGTTGAATTGTCTAGCTAGTTTTTCTACCTACACTAGTGAACTTGTCCCCTATTTATTTCTTTGTTCATGAAGTATGCGTCTTAAAAAAAATTGTGAAAGAGAAAATAGTTTTCTAGATAACCTCTTTTATATTGTCAAGATATATTCCAAGGTGAATGGGACATTTACAATGGCTCACTATTTTTATTATTTGTTAATTTAAGCTTGCAGAAGGTCTTTCATAGTTTTTACTCCTTGCTTACTTACCATGCCCCTTGGATTTCAGGTTGTCAATGATGTTATTTCTTCCAGAAACATGACTGAGTGGTTGCAAAAATATGCTCTTGAGCAGCTCATGGAACTTACATCTCATCTCTATAAATTTCTTGTCAGTTATATGGCTTTGATAAAGCAAAAAGTTGCCGTTGTCAATCCAATTCTGGGAATAATAATATCAACACTCAAGATATCCCAAAAGAGGAGGATATATCAGCCACATTTTATTCTATCAATTGAGGGTTCATATAACATATATAAGGCTGTTAAGATATGTGACAATACAAGATCTTGCGCTACGGCGGAGCTTGGCCTTCATGCTATACTTATGAGTGCACCTCCAGTGGCCATATTTTGTTTGGTATCTCTCTCTCTCTCTCTCTCTCTCTCTCTCTCTCAAACACACACTTAACAGTAGCTATTTGTTTGTCTGCTTGTTTGCATCTGCTATCCATCCGTGTATATGCATTGCACATGGGAAGAATGTTTTAGTTCCTCTCCTTTCTTGAACCTCTGAGAAAAGTACACACCAACAAAAGTTTTTGTTAGCTGCCCTTTGGGATGGTATCATTTTTGAGTTGGAATTGTAGGGTTCGCTTTTCGTTAATGCGTGGCCAGTTAAAAATCTGGGCATTGAAATTGAATTTTCAAACATGTAGGTATGCTGGTTATATATGTGCACATAGATGTGGATGCTTCCTTGTATGATTGGATGTTCTGTGAACTTATATTTCTTGAATGTAACATGATAAATTCCCCTTGAACTAATTTGATATTAATCTTCACTTATGCCCTAGATTCCCATAAGCTTAGATTATAACATCTTTTAGAAGACCCATGGAATGTATCAATGGCAAAATATTTTCCAACATATGTTTTTGTGATGCGTAATTAAGGTTCCTTATGCATTTTGGACAATTGAGCAGGTGTATCATATATTCATATGGTAATCTTTCTTCCAAATTAACCATTTTATCCCTGTTAAAGATATCCTCAACATTCTTAATACCTTAATATAGCAGTTAGATGTCACTATTTTGTCTTGATTTTACCATGAAAACTGAATCTTGATCTCATATGTTTCAGAGTCGTGAAAAGCTTTCAAGTTTTATTATGTGGGCAATTTCTGCTGCTGTGGAAGTAGAGTCTGCGAAGATGCTTCAGCACAAAGAATCTCACCAATGTTTTGCTATTATTCCAGAGGAAGAGCTGCAAGAAAATTCTTTGATATCAAAACTTTTACGTTGGCTAACTGCGTCTGTAATTCTTGGGAAGCTTGATTGGAAATCAAATTATCTGGACCCAGAGTTTCCAAAAATGTTAAATATAAAAACTTTGCAGTCTTTAATGGATCATGTTGAAAGTGCATGCAGAGAAAACAGCAAAAACAGTTATGGTTGTGAGGAGATTTTAGCTTCTGCAATTCTCTACCTCCAACAGCTTGCTGGCACAAATTACAAACTGCTACCATCAGTCACAACTGCCCTTAGTCTTCTCCTTTCCGATGCCTCCATTTTTGCAGGTATCATGCTTTATTTGATTAGCTATGCATTTGGGTTTTGGAGTTTATTGTTTGGGTGCGAACATGAGGAGTTGGTTTAAAAACTGCTTTAGTTATTTCAAAAAAGTGGCATATCTTACTTCAGAACCTCAACAGTAACCATACAGGGAATTGAATAATGAAAGTTCAACTGATCCCATGGCATACCCTCCCTGGATACGAATTCTGGAAAAGAATTGGTCCGATTATGATCATTATGAGTGTCTGCTGGTGAGACTTTAGATTGATTTTGCCTAATAATTTTGTGGGAGAGCCACCAGTTTTAACCAGATGCCTTGGGTCAAGGACAACAACTGTCTTTGTAATTAAGTTTTAATTTTTTATTTTAATGTTGAGTAAGAACAATTGAAACCACATAGACGGACTTCTAGTTGTGGTAGGCTTACATCAAGAATTAGCATACAGCTCGTAGTTTTATTGTATTTGCTCATGGATGAGCTCATCAATTGTGGGCTCAGAGCTATGATGTGTGTTTATGTGACTTTGCTCTAGGTTATGATAGAAAAAGAAAGAAATAAAGTGGTGAGCTGTTTTGTAATCTAGACGTATTAGTCAGGAAGGTGATATGATATGTATGCTGTTGTATTAAATTGCTTCTATTACCATTTAAAAAAAAAAAAAAAAAACTCTCCCTTCCTCTCTCCCCAATATTTCCAAGACCATAAATCCTAACTCTACCTTTGAAAAAAGTTTTGAGATAGTTAAATGGTTCTATCACGATGAACCATTTTCAGAACTGTAGTTTTACTGTGCACTGACGATCAAATGCATATGCACAAAAAATAAATTTACACCTTTTACTTACAGCCTTCATGTAATCTGTTTCAGGGTTCTTACGTAATAATGGGAGTGTTGTGAAATCACTCTGGTCGAAGATAGGTTTCCCTGCTGAAGCTAATCCTGCTTGGAGATGGTAAGATACAATGTTCTCCCACCCCTGTTTTCCTTTCATCTTCAATCTTTGCACATGGTATAAAGCAGGGACTTGTTTACACACCTTTTTCTACCAAAATTTCCTAATGGTTTATTGAGGTCACTGGGTTTGAAAAATTGACCAAAATAGATGCTCTGTTTAGACTTTTCCTGGACACCTTATGGTTATAATCAAGGTCTAAAATATCGAGGGTTTCGGAAATATCGGGAGTCCAAATACCCGGATATATGGATGGGAATATCGGGAAATTATCGATATCGGTAAAAATTGAATAAAAACTATGGAAATTGTAAGAAAACCTTGGAAATTTTGATTGAAACTTTAGAGGATGTTTATTTAGTCAATTTATCTATTACTTTTGGAAGGAAATGCATTGCATAGTGGGTTTGACTGATTTAAGTTCATTCTATAACGAGCTGACAAATACTGTAACTTAAAAAATTGTTTAATGTGTAAGTAATAAAATGGGTTTATATACTATTATGTAGGTCAAGAATAACAATAACAAATGTAAAGATAAATAACAATAATAAATTAGAGTGATTTATATAGTATATGTATAAATTTAAAAAATTATATGTAAATATTAAGTAATAAAAGGGGGTTATATAGTGAAAAGATTAACATATGTGTAAATTATAAAAATATATGCTAATTTATATGATTGAGAGAGTCCGTATGCTTTTCTGTAGTGAGTTGCTCTAAATACGTTAGAGATGCTATAATGACAAGCAAATTGCAATAGAGCGGGTGGTTGAGAGATACAGGAATTGGTCTCTAACCTGGGTTTAAAACCAGCTTATGTTCAATTTTATGTGTTTTTGTCTTTATTTCTGATTTGAAAGAGTGGCGATAAATTGGTGATAATTTCGAAACTTCGAGATATATCATCGATATATTGACCAATATAGCCTTGTGAAGGATGGAAAATATCTTCACGATATTTTTGCCGAAAATATCGCCAGAAATATCAAAATTTATATGATATATACGTCGGATATTGCCAAAATATCAGAGCTTCAGAAAAACGAAATTATCGCTGATATTTCGGCAATATTATCGAAATTTAAGACTATGGTTATAATCATCTTTATGTTTACCAGGACAAGGCTCCCATGTTGGGAATCAAGTTTGATGATCACTAATAAGCTGACACTGTCAATTTGATAAATTGTCTGAAAGATTTAAAAAATACAGTAACCCTTCACTAGCTCATTTTAGGAATCCAGTCTGTCTGATATTTTGATGTTCTGCTAGCCTACTTGAATGCTGGGTACGTCATTTGTGCCCGGAAACCCTGATCAAAGCTAACTTGTTCTGGCCATACAATTTGTACAGGTCATTTTACCAGCCATGGAAGGATCTTACATTGGAACTAACTGGCTCACAAAAGATGGAGGAACTCCATGCCTGTCAATCTCTTTTAGTTATTATTTCAAATGTGCTTGGAAAAGGACCATCAGAATTGCAGGTTTCATCAACACAAGAAGTAGATAGATTGGGTGTATTTGAATGGGAAAGAAGTATTGCAGAGACTCAGTCATGCCAAGAAAAGGCTGCTAGATCCCAGACTTTCTTGCTCAGGACCCCTGGACGCAGAACTTTGGGCTTGAGGCTTCCATAGAAAAAAGGGATTTAGATATTAATTTTTGAAGTTGACTCTGCCCTTACTATGAGTTTTGTTAAGGGTTTCTGTTAAATCCAATAACCCTTGGCATTATTTATGAATGTAGAAGCCTTTTGTATAGTAGTTGGAGTTGAGTTGTTCCATGTCCGTAGAGAAAAATAACTTGGGTGCTAATTTTTTGTACGAGAAAAACTCTACTGCACTGGGTATATTTCTCCTCTCTCTCTCTCTCTCTCTCTCTCTCTCTCTCTCACGTGACAAGATGAGCTCTTAGAGGGTCTTTTGAGGTATCTTCACGATGGTCTCTTCTCAAAAGAATAAAAAGCCATTCAATCCTTGCTGGAATTTGTCTCCCTGAAATGACGGGCGGGTTGCGTAATTTCATGTAATTCTATAAAAATGCAGGCTCTCCCTAGCTGTCTACAGAAGAGATGTTCAAGTCCTTGTTTGGTTGTCACTCAAATAACCTCCTATGTTGCATCTGCTAAGTTCATGGTACACGACCTAGTTTTTCTTCTCAATATATTTTTTTTTCAACAAACAACGCATTATTAAATCAAGTTCTACAACATGATTGTTTGCAATGCAATAATCTAGTGTGCATATCAAATGTCATGTAAGCGGAGAAAAGGAGAAAATAATTGCAATGATTTAACAAAATAATTGCAAAACTAAATGCAAAAAGAAAAACAGAATCTGTTGAAAAAAGACTTACTTATGAGAGTAAATTATGTATCTGTTCTACTTTTGATTGAAGTTGATTCACAATTCAACAATTATCCCTTTATATAAATATTATGGGATAGCAAAACAATGTTATTCTTGTGATATACAAATTCCTCTCAGGGTTTACGCCCACTATTGCAGTTAAAGTTTAGGTGGAAACATTTCACGCACTAGTACCACACTACTGCACCTACATACATTTGTTAAGGAATGTACCAAATGCCTTCATTAAGGAATGCACCTAAAGTCTTCTATGCGGATTCCACATGTTCACAAACCTTTAATTTTTCTTTGTTAGATGGGAAATCACAAAAAACAGATGTAATGTCTTATTTTCCAGATCCACCCTCCCCAAGCAAGACCATAGAAGAAATATACAAAATTGTCTCGAATAAGACATGGGTAATTTAGTCATTCCACTATAACATTCCAAAAAGAGCCATAAACACAAACCCCCCCCCCCCCCCCCCCCCCCCCGGGGGGCTGAGCTACTACTAGATATCAACAACTTTCATAAAAATGATTGCAGACAAAGAGGGAGACAACAATGGACCCGAAGCCGATAATCACTTTCCTTCTCTTAATCTCGGCAACCGTCATCGCAGCCCAAGAATACGTCCGGCCTCCGCCTCGCAAAGCCCTCCATTTTCCATGGAGCCGAAAACCCTCTTCTCTTCCCCAGCAGGTAGCTTAATCATCTTTACCTTCTCATCTTCTCACTCTACTGTTTCTTTCACTTTCTGGGTATGTCAAAATTTTCTCAGGCAAAAAATAAAAATAAAATCAGAGTCTGACTCCATATCTTATGAAACCATAAATCTTTTGCTCCATTTTAAGTTGGGTTCTGTTTGTTTTGCCAGAAAATACTTTCCTTTCTGTCTAATCTTTCTTTTATTTATTTATTTATATTTTGTTTAGTATGTTGTGTAGCTTGATTTTGATCTTGTATGGAATAATGGGCCATGTGAACAAGCTTGTTTTACAGAAAAGAGAAGTTCCAAAAGTTTGTTGTTATTTAAACTCTATGTATAATGCTAGTGTAAGCTTAACAGAGCAGGGGTGGAAATTGACCCAAATGGAGATGGTGGCTCAAACAAACATGCTTCTGATGAACAGTTGCGGGTTGAATCATAATTGGATGTGTGCCTTCTGTTAAAAAACAAATCTATCCTAGGTTTTCTGCTGATGTATAAAAAAGATTTGTTGCTTGTGATAAGTTTTATAGCGTCCCTCCTTGAATCTCAACAAAACCTTAATTATTGGAAATGATCAATTGTTGTGCATCGGAGTGAAAGTTAGATTTCTGGATGTTATGACTGCATAGTGAACATGATTATCATTAATTGTGACTTAATCTGTGTTGATTTGTGCCCGGGGCAAGTATCTTTCAAGGCCGTTTGGCTTTGTTTGATATTTTCTCATTATTGTTTCCAAATTTATGAAGATTTTCAGGTTTTAAACCGTTTTATTTATCGTAGTCATTTACTATAATATATACTTTGCTGCCCAATTTCCTATTGCAGGTGCACATCTCTTTAGCAGGGGACAAGCACATGCGAGTGACTTGGACCACTAATGATAAATCTGCTCCGTCAATTGTTGAATATGGAACATCGTCAGGGAAGTACAGTTCTGTAGCTCAAGGAGAAAGTACCTCTTATAGTTATCTGCTCTATAGATCAGGAAAGATACACCATACTGTCATTGGCCCTCTTGAACATGGCACCGTTTACTTTTATCAATGTGGAGGACAAGGTCCTGAGTTTCAGTTCAAGACCCCTCCAGCTCAATTTCCAATTACTTTCGCCGTGGCTGGAGATATGGGACAAACTGGATGGACAAAGTCAACCCTAGACCACATTGAACAGTGCAAATATGATGTGCATCTGCTTCCTGGAGATCTTTCATATGCTGATTACATGCAGTCCCGATGGGATACATTTGGTGAGCTGGTGCAGCCACTTGCAAGTGCAAGGCCATGGATGGTAACCCAAGGGAACCATGAAAAGGAGAATATACCATTGTTAAAAGATGGGTTTGCATCCTATAATTCCCGATGGAAAATGCCGTATGAAGAGAGTGGATCAAGTTCGAATCTTTACTATTCCTTTGAAGTTGCAGGTGTTCATGCTATCATGCTCGGTTCATATACTGATTACGATGAGTATTCAGATCAATACAGGTGGTTGAAGGTTAGTTAATTTTCTCTTCTCTTGTCAGAAGGAATATTGCTTTTTCTTCTACATTAAATTATATATTATATTTGTTTGTAAAAGGACACTTAGAGGTAGATCTATGACGGTCATATATTGTCATTCTTGTGAAACAGGCTGATCTTTCAAAGGTAGACCGTCAGAAGACACCTTGGCTGGTTGTTCTCTTTCATGTGCCCTGGTACAATAGTAACAAGGCTCATCAAGGTGAAGGGGACAGCATGATGGCAGCAATGGAGCCATTACTGTATGCTGCCAGTGTGGATATAGTGCTCACTGGTCATGTTCATGCTTATGAACGCACGGTATAGCTATGCTAATTCAGCATATATTTGTTTAGTATAAATTTGGGGCTTTCAGTTTTTAATTCACGTTAGCCCATTTGACAGAAACGTGTGAACAGTGGAAAATCAGATACATGCGGCGCTGTCCACATAACCATTGGTGATGGAGGAAACAGAGAAGGTTTAGCTCACAAGTATGTTGTTGTGCTCAAAATTTTCAATATAGGAAAATAGAATATTTGTTTTCTCATGTGATTGGCAATACAATCCTGAAATTCGGTTCGCATTGGCAGGTATATAAACCCATCTCCTGAGTGGTCAGTTTTCCGGGAAGCAAGTTTTGGTCATGGGGAGCTCAAGATAGTGAATTCGACCCATGCCTTTTGGACCTGGCATAGGAATGATGATGATGAGCCTGTAAGGTCTGATCAGGTCTGGATAACCTCATTGGTCAGTTCTGGATGTGTTGCTGAGAAGAGATATGAACTAAGGAGTATACTTGTGGCGCCATAGAACTTGTCATGCATGTGATGGCTTCACCTGATTTTGTCAAATCAGGGGTTTTTATGTATAAGATGAAATCATCTACCAACTGGTTGATGTGCAAATAGAATCCAATCATTGCTGCTTGAATTGGTAGAACACGGTAGGTCCACGATGTGCTGATTGAGTTCTCTCAACTGGTTGATGTGTCTGGAAAACTTGTTTTTTAATCTGTTTGAATGTGCAAGAACTTCAGTATATTGTTGAACTCTGTGTATAGTATATGTGGTAAGATTCTCCCTTTATTTTTGTCTAATGTAACATATATAGTTCGCCCTTTATGTTGTTCTTGGCAGTATGTCTTTCTGGCTATACATTCAGGATCGAAGGATTAGATCATACAGAACTCTGGTTAAAAGTTCCTGGCCCCAATGGCTAGTGAATGTTTCTTTTAACCATATTGGCACATCTGTGGTGTGGCATGGTCAGCCCCAGTTTTATTTTTGAAAGTTTCCCAAATATCTTAAAAACAATTCTCTCTTCCTTTTGGTTCTAAAACAATTCCATGGTGCAATACGAAGTATATATCTGAACAAACAAATATACAAAGATCATTTCCAGAAAAAGGAAAGAAAAAAGAAACCATAGGGGCATGGTGAGGTGAGGCCTCAAGAATTGCTTTAAAAAAATGTAAGGCAACAATTCAAAACTACCTTAAAAAAGCAAAATTCACAAAAGCAATCATTTTTGAGTTTATTCAAAAAAGAATACATTCACATTCGATTACAAAGGTGTCACACGCATGCGCAAAGAGATTACAATTGAAACTTGAATACTAACAAGAACCAAAAGGTGGGAAATTTTGGTCTCCCAAGTGCCTTCTGAAATTCTTCTCATTTTAATGCAGCATAATGGGCTTGTACATTAAGAACGTCCTCATGAGATCTGTTAGATATGAAATGGCACTGCCTCATTTGATTTTACCAACTTCTTCAGTCTACTGGCAACACATGCAGAGAACGTAACATGGTATCATTCCTACCACATATCTATGCGCACCCGATCATCTTCGATAGAGTTCCTTTTTTGTAACTTGCTGGGTGTTGGAGAAGACTAATTAAACCATTGGCAGTAAGACTATGACCTGAATTGGTGAGCACCAGACCTGTGTGAATTGGATGAGATGAGTGATTAGCGGTCTGCAAGAGCTAACTGATATGCCAATGCTATATTTGACAAGCTACACTACCAAAATACTACATTTGGAACTTTACCTTCCAATGTTGTGTGCCAAAGAAAACATTTGATTTCCAACTACTGTTACTTTTTCCACCGCAATTTCTCCTCCAAGTTACAATGTTCCTATATTATCCACCAAACCATCATCCAACTATCAATTCCTTTGGCTTTATTTTATTTTTCTTTGAGTAATATGGTACCATCACTTGAAGAAGCTGCAGGTGAATTAAAGTTTAGATATTAAAACTATAAAAAGCAAATAGGAATAAAACAGAAAAGTCAGATTGTCTATTTCAGTTGTTTCATCTTGTTGCCTACTTTTTGAGGCCACCCGAAATTTGTTGCAGCTCCTCATAGCTGTACTTTAACAAGATGTAAAAACTCTTGATCTCTCATTGTCTTGTATGTAACTCTTGAATGCCTAAAAGTTCTGTCTGCTTCTACCAAAATGACCAGAAATGTTTATATATAATAAATTTAAAAAAAAAAAGGTAGGTATACGACGTACAAACTGATTAAAAAATTATTTAAGTTTTCAAAAATTTGATCTTGGATGATCCTCAACCAATTGTTGCAGATTACTATATATATCTTAATTAGTTCCGAATGCATTCCCAAATTTTCCTTATTGTTTATTGTCTTCTCCTTTCCTAATCTGTGATGAGAATACGCACTGAGAAAGATGAGAGAACAGAAAAATTGAAAATTGACAACAAACAATGGATGAAAGCTCTAAAGTTCATGGATTCTTTCTTCATCTAATTAGTGGCTATATGGTAGAGCCAGACACGCACGAAAGTCTAAACCAACAAAACTTTTGCCCAAACCACACACAAAAGGTGTTATGAAGCCATAACACTAACACCTTGTACCATACAACCATCAATATGGTAGAAGGACCTGGGTCATTCTACCATGCAAGTGGGGTATTCCGTGTCAGTGTAAAATTGTCTATGGATTCATAAAACTTTTGTGTGTGCTGTGCATAAAAGCATAGACATTTATAACACCAACAATGCTAGGAAGACCACACGTTAATACCACATGATGTGACAAGTGATGTACAGCTCATGTCAATTAATTTATCCCTTCGGTTGTCATTTAATTTATTCTTAATTTTTAAATTGAATTTTTAATCCATTTCTAGGTTCTTCAAGCGAACATAATGAGCCTAAAGATATAGCGGTAGTCAGTGGTGAAGGAAAACAAGAGTTGTAACTAAATGCAAGAGGAATGGAGGTTGACAAGAGAATAGTAATTGGAAGACTTTTTTTGTATTTGGCATACAACATTTTAACGCATTGTGTCACAAACAAAATTTTGACATAAAAACTTTCCAGATATTGCATTGGCATTTGTATTTGAGAATTTTTCTTTTAGAATTGAGTACCAAACCTGACCACACTTAAGCATCTGCAAACTTTTCACTTCTATCCCTGCACTTGGAGTCTGCTTCTTGATCTCTCTTTCCCCTCCAGAGTACAATCTGCTCATCCTTGAACAAAAGGGGGATGCAAGGTACCAGATCCTGAATATATAGAATACACAAGGGGATAGATCACTTAAGGGAGCAACTCGAGATAGATGCAGAAAACAAGAAGCATAAGAACGGAATAGAGACCCACAACTACCACCTAAACAGAAAGAAAACTCCAATTCAACCCAATACAAGTCCTACCCTTAATTTCACGCCTATCCTTTTGCAATCACTGGTACCAACATGCGTGCAGTCTAGTCTCACTACCTCCTCAGTCTTGAAAGCCTCCCTGACTCTATCCACAACATTCACATACACACCATTTCTAGCTGCAGGGAATAACATCAAACAATAAAAAAGCAAGCTAACAGAAGGGAACCATAAATTGTTTCCATATCCCGTTTACTTATAAACAACAAAGAAAAGCAAAGCGTCATCTGAAACTTCCCAAAAATCAAATTCACTTCTTTAAGTTTCCTTCTTTTTTGATAAGACACTTACTAAGTTTCATAACAGGTGGGGAATTTAGTCCTCTGTTTCTTAATTCCTTCGTTTCTTCAAATGTCAAGCCATCAGCAACATTCTTCACAAGCTTGGGATATATCGGAGTGTACGGTTTCCAGAGCATTACAGGTATTACAGGTCGATTCTTCGGATCATAGTTTCGACCCCGGTATAAAATAAGGACATTAATGTGCTGGTAGACAATCTTCCCACCAGATTTGTCCTGCACAGACACTAGTATCTCCATGAGCTAATAATTTCCGAACACCAAAAATCAAAACCAAATCCAGATAATTGGAGCTGACTGAGTTAAGTTCAAACCTCAAGGTGGAAGCAAACATTGTCCATGTCAAGAGTTGGCACTCCCAAACACTTGATCCTCACAGCTTCTGCCCGCTTCCAATGGTTGTGGATATCATCTAACATGTTATGAGTAACTCCTCCCTTTCCTGATACAAAATTAAATCATTTAGTCCCTCATAAAAATGACTGCAAAACGAAACCAACTTTCAAGCCTAAAACATATATAAAGAACTGCATATAATAGAATACAATGCAATACATAGTTAATCTCAGGGTAGAACCCTAAATCCTAACCCCTTACCCATGTTGATTTGCCGAGCACAATCACTATGACGGTACCGTTCCACCAGCTTAGCCACTTCCTCCTCCGTTAGTGGGTCTCCAAGAACCCGTTTCCTCTCCTCCACGACCCGGTTCAAGTCCACTTCTTGTTGGGTCAGGGCAACAGTGCCGGTCCATTTCCTATCAAGCCGACCTGGCCCAAAAGGAGAGAACTTGGGCGACTCCCGGAACGCAATAGGTTCGACCTTCGGGTTTGTTTCTGAGTACGAGTAGCTGAAGTCGAAGGGTAGGTCCGACTTGAGAGGCCGGGTCGGTTCATTCTTCGTATCTGGATCTTTATTCTGTGTCTTGTTCTTCTTGGGCTTCGGAGGTTTGGAAACTGGAGAGAAAGGAGGGTCGTCGTCTTCGTATTGGTCTTCGGAGAGAGAATGGCTGAGAAAGCGAGAGAGGGAGATAAAGGGTTTGGCCGGGTCTAGGGTTAGGGTTTTGTGAGGTGAGGAACGCCATGGGAGTAGCTTAAGCATTGCAACAGAGAATTGAAGTTAAGAGTGAACCGAGGAAAAACTGTACTGCGGGTTGAAAATGAAGGGGCAATATCGTAAACAAAGCACAAAACACCATGTGGGCAGTAACATTAAAAACAACTCCACCCATTTGCCTTTTGTTAGAGCAACTCCACCCATTTGCCCTTAATCATGGCAAATGGGGAGCTAGGACAGTTACTATTCATGTGAATAGTGGTTGCCCTTGCAAATCAGAATTTTGTGTTTCAACTCGTTGCCTTTGCTAAGGGCAATTACTATTCATTTTTTTGTTTTATTCACAACTTTTTTTACCATAATAATTAATTTAGATAATATTTTCGGATAAGATTTTCGGGTTCCTACGTGTCAATACTATTCATATCTCATAATCGGACAAAATTTTCAATTTCAAATTTCAGATAAATTAAAAAAAAAGGCTAGTATTTATAGAAAAAAATTCATTAATTTTTGGGTATTTTTAAAAAAAAATTCCGAATTTTTTCCAGTATTTTATTGCAAAAAAATTGGCTGCCGTTGGATTGGAGGAAAAAATCAGATCTGAGAGCCCAGACGACGCCACGTGGCAACAGGAAAAAAATCAAATCAGCGAGGTACTGTAGTGATACTGTAGCGGTACTATAGCGCTACAGTCACCCCCCTCGTTTTGGACCTCAGGCAGAAGTAGCCTTTGGGCCAACCCGAGTTGGTGGGTCCCACACCTCCCCCGGGCCTGGGCTGTCTGCTGGAACACCTTTTTTTTCCCCCCCAGCCTCGGGCTGGGCTTACCGCTAGAGAGGCTCTTATGACAAGGGGGGCTAGGGCAGCACTATTCACGTGAATAGTGATTGCCCTTGCAAGAAGCAATGTGCGTTTCCACCCGTTGCCATGACAAAAGGCAATTACTATTCATTTTTTTGTTTTTTTCACAACTTTTTTTACCTCAATAATTAATTTGGATAATATTTTCGGATAAGATTTTTGGATTTCTACGTGTCAATACTATTCATATTTTATAATCAGATAAAATTTTCAATTTCAAATTTCAGATAAATTTTAAAAAAAATTGGCTGGTATTTATAGAAAAAAATTCATTAATTTTTGGGTTTTTTTAAAAAAAAAATTCGAATTTTTTTTAGTATTTTATTGCAAAAAAATTGGCTGCTGTTGGATTGGAGAAAAAAATCCAATCGGAGAGCCGAGACGACGCCATGTGGCAAAAAAAAAATCATATGAGTGGGTTGACGCCAGCTTGGCGTCAGCGATGACATCAGCCCAAAACTCGGGCTCGCACTCGAGCTAAACTCCCCCTCGAGCCAGTCCAGGCTCGTGGCCCCCAACTCCTGCCCGGGCAAGCCTTCTCCACTAGAATTGGGTTTTTTGCTTTGCCTCCCCCCAGCCCGAGGCTTGGGCTCCTCGCTGGAGTCGCTCTAACAAAATACATAACTTCATTCAAATCTCCACAAACAAAGCACAAATTAAACAAAACACCCAAAATACAAGTATCCATAAACAAAGCACAAATAAAACCTTGAGCTGTGTAAGAAACCCACCCAACCAAATGAATTTGAGATGGCGACGGCGATGGGTGCGACAGAGACTGCTGGTGGGTTCTCTTCCTTCTTCCTTCTACTTCTTCTTCTTTGGGTTAATTACAGTTTGGTACCTTGTGGTTACACCTTAAGACATATTAGTCCCTATTTTCTCAATTTTTACAATCAGATACCCAATCTTTTAAATTTGTTACAATGTGGTTCCATCGTTAGGATTTCTGTCATATTCCTCCGTTTGCCTACGTGGCACTATAGCTCCCACATTTTTAATTTAAAATTGATTAAAATATTTGTTTTGACAAAAAAATTACAAAAAAAGAGAAAAAAATTCCTCCCAAACCAGAGCTCTCGCGATTTTCTTCTTCCCCTATTCATCGATGACCACCACCCGCACCCAAACCAACCTAAAACCCCAGCCCGCAACCATAGACCCCCTCCCCCTCCACTCGATTTCTTCTCCCCCTGCCCAACTCCAAACTCTAGTCCCCACTACAGGTGTCAAACGGGCCGTGCCGGGCCGGCCCGTCTCATTTAAACTCGTGCTTTTAAAGTTTTCGTGCTGTGTCAGGCCGACCCATTTTAATTTATCAGGCCGTGCCGTGCCGGTCCATTTAGTAAAATCTTTGATCCCAGCCCGGCCCAAAGCCCATGTCCACATTGAAACAGACTGGGCCGTGCTCGTGCTCGTGCCATACTTGGGCCCAAGAACTAACCCATTTAATTTGAAGTTTTTTCACTTGATAATTCAAATTATAAACATTAAAAATATAATTAGAGACAAGAAATGATGAATTATTTGAAAACATTAATCAATCAAACCTCCAAACAATATAAAAGGCGGAGGGCAAAAAGTGTACAATTCCACAAAGTCCACTTCAACTTTTCATCTTTAAACAACTTATTATTTTATATGTGAAGAAAATGTCTTGCTTTGGTTATAAGAGAAGCGTATATGTCATATGTACTAATTAGATATCAAGTCCAATGTTGTTAAATTAATTTATAGTTGATATGTTTAATTAATTTTGGATCTAAGAAATTTCCCTAAAATGAAAGACATCAAATATGTTTATGATTATAAAAAATAAAAAAACCATATAAACAATGATATTAGATGTCAAATTTTTGCATTTTGACATTTGAGAAAGAAAAAAAAAGTTAAGTGGGCCATGCTTGAAGCGGGCTTTGGCTCGTGCCGTGCTTGAAGCGGGCTTGGGCTCGTGCCGTGCTTAAAGCGGGCTTAGGCCAAGCCCGGCCCATGTCGGGCCGTGGGCCGGCCCGATCCATTGGACCTCATTTTTTATCCCGGCCCGGCCTAAGTTTTCGTACCGTGCTTAGCACAGCCCATTGTTGTTCGTGCTCGTGCCGTGCCGTGCTGTGCCTCGTTTAAACGGGCTGGGCTCGTGCCGTGCTAGTACGGCCCATCCCATTTGACACCTCTAGTCCCCACCCACAAAAGACCAACGATTTTTTTTGCAAAACTGGGAAATTTACCAAAACTGCAAAAGTCTCAAACTTTGAGAAAAGAAAACTTGTTGCCTTTTGTTTTCTTTCCATCAGTTCATGATCTACCAAACAGGGGAGAAGACACAAGCCAACCCAAAATTCTCATAACCACATTCAACACCCAAATTCAAAAACCAACGAATTTTTTTATTTTTATTTTTTTCCAATTTGTACACAGAGAGAGAGAGAGGGAGAGAGCGGAGAGGAGAGAGAGAGAGAGATGCAGACCGTCAGATCTCGCCGGAAAGCGTCGGTGACGGCTGGAACGAGCTTTGAAGGGAGGATGGCTGCGAGTGGTCATGGTGGAATGAAGGGGAGAAGAAAATCGCAGCAGTTTGGGAGGATTATTTTTTTCTGCAAATTTTTTTTTTTTGAAAAAAGAAAAAATATTTTAATCATTTTAAAATTAACAAAAAATGAAAATTGTGGACTCATAATTCTACGTAGGCAACTAACAGAAAAATCTGACAGAAACCCTAACGACAGAACCAAGTCAACAAATTTAAAAGATTGGATTTCTGATTGTAAAAATTGAAAAGATAAGGATTAACATATCTTAAGGGTGTAAACACAGTGTACCAAACTGTAATTAACCCTTCTTCTTTTTTGGTTGCCGTCTGAATCGCCCAAAAGAACTAGCCTCTTGACAGAGACAAGGTCTTTAAAAATTTAAGTTTTAAGTTTACATTTTAACTCCACATATTCAATAACTTTCAAAATCACCCACAAATTTTCAAAACATTTTCGTTTTTATCCCTTGATGTATCATGACCGTGTCCCGAGTGTATCGTTATGGTATCAATGGAGTATCGGAGCGGTATCGTAAAGTCAACATGCCAGAAAAATTTGGCATATCGATTATCGAATACGTATCAATGCCATATCGGATACCCGCATACCCCCAAAATATGGTGTATCAGTGCAATAGAGTCTCATATATATGGTGTATCAGTGCAACAGAGTCTAATACATTGCTGATCAATCTAGCATACATAACAGAAGAGAAAAAAAAAAAAAAAAAAAAAGACCAAAAAAGACCGAAAAATGTCATGTTTGTTGTTGATATTCATGAAGCATGGCTTACACAAACAATTTCTTTGAAACACGAACCCAGCACCTACAATGGGGCAATACTGCTACCACTTTTCAAAAATCAACCTGAGTTTCAGTGACCACTGACCACATCAATCAAAATGTAATGGTGTACATTTGAATATGGCTTTCATCACTAGGTTTCCAGATGATGTCAAAATTGTGTAAAGTGAGAAATTGAGCACAAGACTCACTCACCCCGACGGGGAGACGTTGCTTAATCTCTCCTTTTTACATCGCTTCTGGTCCTCAACCATAGACTCAAAAACATCCAAGAGATTGTCCAGCCCCTCAGGACTGTCCCCTACTGCCTGCAGTGCATATACAATGCTTTCAATGGTGGACAGAAATCCCAGCTTCGGCTGAAGCCTCACTTCATCGTACAAGCTCATCTTGTCCAATTCCAACTTCAAGTGTGGCAAGAGTTTCAGCCAGGGATTTTCCACATACATTCTCTTTGCCTTTGACCATGTTCCGTCCAAAACAATCATATTCTTCACCTTTTGATTCATAGCCTCAAGGTCACTGACGCTAACTGCTTCTTCAGATGGAAATAAGAGTACAGATCCAGGAGGAACCTCCATTTCAAACTCTACATATTCATTCAACTCCTCACTTCCCTTCAATGGCTGCTTTTGCAACTTTTGTACAACAAACCCCTCTGCCAGAGCATCACGCGCATTGTCTAAAATCGTATCGAAATTTGGATTCTTACAGTGGCCTTCTGCCATCCAAATATGGGAAAGAGAGCTAATGACACCATACTTGCCAATGGTAGCAGCTATAACAGGCACATCATTACCAGTTTGGATACCTTCAACTGAATCAAAACCTTCGTTGGAAAGCTTGGATACTGCATCCAATGTGGTAGCAGTTGAAACCTCATCAGCATTGTCTTGTCCATCTAAGTGCTTATCATCAGTGAACTCATGTTCTTGCCCTACAACTAATACATCACTGGTTGATAAGCCAGAATTGCTTACAAAATATACACCTCCTAATTGGTTTTGAGCCTCACTCCCAAATTTGCATTTCTCATCACTTTCAATCAGACTACTAATATTTTTCTCTTTTGGGAAATTTGCAGATAACCCAAATTCTGACTCTCCCACATTTTCCTTCCCTGAACTGACCTCATCACAATACTTAAAAACCAGCTTCTGGGTCTCTCTACTTTCCACAACTTGATCAAAACCTGAACGTTCTGAACCATTTCGGTCAGGACCCGTTTGAGAATACGGGTCCAGCGACCGGATAACGAACCGGGCTTCAAAATTTACGTCACAAACGGTAACTACGTTGAGATTCTTGAGGCCCAATCTGGCAATCCTAGTGGAATTAAGCGGGTGGTTCTTCTCTAGGCTGTGTTGAAGAATGGTCACACTTACAGAGTTATGGAGCCCCGGGGTCTGAATCCGAGTGCAGAGGCAGAGCCGGATGGGTTTGGAGCACGACGGGCAAATGGGTCTCTTGGAAGTAGCCTGGGTAGCCACCATTTTTAGGGTTTGAGGAAGAAAGAAGGGCTTTCGGAGAAGTGTGCAGAAATGGTTGTTTCGGGTCCGAGAACCGAACAGGCATCTATGTGTTCTAGCAGCCATAGTAGAAAAACAAAAGAAAAGAATCAATGATAAGACGACGGGCAGCTAAATATGGAGAACGACACGTCGTTTAATGAGTCTCTACGCTTGGTTTGACAAATTTAAAAAAAAAATACAAATAATAGTTTAAATTATTCTAAGTTAATTTATTTTTAAAAATATATTATTCTTTTTTATTTTTTTATTTTTTGTTATTTTATCAAAGTGAGATAACTTCATTGAAACAACAATGTTAGAGTACAAAAAGAAATTGGATTTTAGTAATGTAACAAGTGTGGCCTCATTAAAAGTTTAAAAACCCTCAAATAGAGGAAAAACCGGTCAAGGAAAAAGAGTACCACTACATCACATCCAGTATAAAATTAAATTAAGAAAATAATTTGTCATGGGCCAAAACATCAGAAATCCATAAAGGACCATCCTCTAACCACACTTGAAAATCGAGCGCCTGCTTAGCCAAAAGATGAGCAATCTGGTTACACTCCCGAGAAGCAAAATGACAAGAAATATGAACAAAACGATTAAAATGGCCCCTAACTTCATCTACTAAAGCACCCTCCATTGACCCGCTTTGCTCAGAAGTTTGAAGATTCATAATAATCTCTTTAGCATATATTTCCAAAATGACATAACAATGCCCCATTTGACTTGCAATATGTAATCCCAAAATTGTTGCATAAAGTTCAGTAGCTTTAGGAGAAAATGTGCCATGAAGACCTTTGTAGGCAGCCAGCATTAAATCACCCATACTATCTCGTATTACAACCCCTAAACCTCTAAAGCCAAATAGCAAATTGACAGCACCATCAACATTTGTCTTCACAAAATTACCAATATGTGGAGACCAATGCCGCACAATATTAGTTGCTGGAACATGAGAAGACATTAAATAATAGCCCGTTGATATTCCAAAACAAGCTTCAGGTATGACCCAAAAGACAAAGATGTGAAATATTTCGGCTAGAATATAAAAGATCATTACGAGAGCTCCATAATCCCCAACTCAGAAAAACAAAGAAGACTAGCTTGTCATTAGTCAAAACCGAGGAAGCATATCGATATAACTCCTTAAAAGTACCAAGCTGTAGGGGGACAGTCAAGTCATGAATAGGTGAATGCTGCCAAACCTCCATCGACATTCGACAAAACTACAGAGCATGTACTAAAGTTTCAGGCTATTGAGAGCACCTAAAACATAGTGAATCAAGAACAATTTGACGATTAAAAAGGTTTACCTTACATGGATTAATATCATGTACCGCTCTCATAAAAACACCTTCAATTTATTAGGAACTCGCAAGGACCAGATGGACGACCATAACAAATCCACTGAATTATTACTTCCCATTCACGGTATCTGAAGAGTTTGGTACCAAAGGAATTGACAGAATAGCAGCAACCTCTTATTTCCAGAAGACTGCAGAAAGTAAGTCTAAATTCCGCTAGCCAACTGAATCTATTAAGAAGTGAACAGTAGCATCATCCTCAAAAAATGGAGGCGAAGAAGGCCGAAAAGAGGACGGCAGAGGCAACCAAGGGTCTCAATTAATTTTAATTGATAAACCATCTCTTACTCTCCAACGAAGACCAGCAGCCAACAATTCCCAACCCCAAATTAAAGATCTCCAAATAATTGAAGGAGAATTCCCCAATGGAGCATTCAAAAAATCACCATTAGGAAAATACCTTCCACGATACACCTGCCCCACAAAAGAATTTGCGTTGATGAGAAGCCTCCAACCTTAACAAAGCCTTATTAATTGTTCAATATCTCTAAAGCCCAAGCCACCAACTTTTTTGGCTTACATAAGAGCATCTCCACCCACAAGGGCTAAGTCTAAGGCAAGGGCAAGCAAGGGCTGCCACTATTCACTTGAATTTTTTTATACTTTAAACCATTAATTTTGATAATCTTTTGTAATTAAATTTTCGGATAAGATTTTCACCCTCTAAAATTATGCCACGTGTCTCATGTCAGATACGATTTTCAGATATTTAAAAAAAAATTATAATCTCAGATTTCAGATAAAATTTTTACCCTCTAAAATTGTGCCACGTGTCCAATGTCAGATAAGATTTTCAGATATTTTTAAAAAATTATAATCTCATATTTTAGAAAAGATTTTCACCCTCTAAAATTGTGTCACGTGTCCCATGTCAGATAAGATTTCAGATATTTTAAAAAAATTATAATCTCAGATTTTAGATAAGATTTTCATCCTTTAAAATTGTGTCACGTGTCATCTCTATCTTTTAAATCCCTCTATAAAACTACACCATCAACTCATACCTCTCACACCATCTCTTAGCTATTCCTTCATTTCTCAGATTTTAGAAAACACATTCTACTCTCAATGTCAAACTTGTCGAGGGTGTTGGAGAGGCAACAGAAACAAAGGGAAGAAATCCGGCGTAGACGTGCTCAAGAAGATCGGGACGCCGATGAAGAAGAGGAACAACTGCTTGCAGCAACGGTGTGTATGATGGATCAATCAAGGCAACATCGTCGTCGTCGTGCCCCGAATGTGGACAGAGTAGGGAGTCTCTGGGTAAGAATCTCATGGAGGATTATTTTATCCCAAATTCGTTATATCCTGCTTCTAATTTGCGAGAAA